AAGTGGACTCAATTTGCACTATTTCTGGCAGTCTGCAAAGGCCTATGGAGGAGGAGGACACCAACATACCTATCTTCTGACAGAGAAGGTCTGACAGAGAAGGTCTGACAGAGCAGGCCTCTGGTGCTCAAGGAGGCTTTATGAGAAATGCCAGCTACTCTCAAAACAGCTGAGCTCATAAGAGCTGATTGTATAAACAAGGGAAAGACGCAGGACTGGTTGTCAGAGATCATCTTAGTTTCCTGGTGAAAGCACACTTGTTCCTGACCTTCTCTTCATCTTCTTGGCCTGGACCCTTGATTCTCAGTCTGTCTGATCCTCTTGCCTCTCTGGAACCTTGACCTTGGATTGCTTGACTACGCTTTTGGTTTGGATCCTTTGACTTGATTCCATGGACATGATTCCATAGACATGGAACATGTTAGCAGTTTGGAGCCAACTTAGCATGCTCAACATTCATCTGTGAGTATTTATTCCTTTTCCAGTAAAGGATTATTTGGTTCTGAACATTGGCTTCTCAAAAACACCACAGGTGGGTGAAGAAGCTGTATTTTGCAATAGATGGAAATATCTGACAAAACCAGACAGACAACTTACTCATCTATGAAGGGGGAAAAGCAAAAGAAGTAAAATAGCTAAAATTGGAACCTGCCTCAAGCTCTTTATTTGCATATATTAATAATATCAGTGCTAAGCTCAGCAGCATCAAATTACCACAGTGTATTTTGCCTTCCTTTTCTAGCAATTTCTCCTGGGCTCTGGTATATATCTAGGTATCAAGAGCTTTGTATGTTCTACACAACCCTTCCTTTCCTTCCCAGCTCTCACTGGACAAACAGTGGGGTCCTCCAAAATTCCTGAATGATATTTTGCTGATTTGCTTTTACTGGAAAGAGAATAAGAAGAAATCAAATTGAGCAATTTTGATCATGGGGATTATTGATGCTTCACTGGTTACACTGTATATGGAAGAGCTGCTTATATATTAATAATGAGAATAATATATCTGTCTCTCTTAAAGAGCAATCCTAATCTTCACATCTAATACCTAGAGCAGGTGAGCATAACAGGAGCCCTTCTGAACAATCAGTATTCCCATGGAAAGCTCTGCAGGCATATAATGACCATGGTAGGCTGCGAACTTGTATTTTCTAAGGGCCGATTAGAAGTAATCTCATATTCACTTGCTCCAATGATTCTATAGTTCCTTCACAAGCCCTGGGATGGAGTCCTTCACATTTGCCCATGGGGAATTTGCACAGCTATTTTCAATCTCATTAAAAAGTCTGTTGTTGTTTTTTAAAGCCAGGGGAAAAACAAAGACTGACCTTCTGCTACCCACCGTGACAGCTTTGGAAATGGCAGACCTTCTGCCACTTCATTTCCTCCAAATCAGATTGCAAATTAAATATTAAAAATTGTGCACTGGGTAACTGCTGGCTACTGATCCCATGAATACTCCTGAGGTTATACTGTACCTGTTATATGGTATGGAGACCTTTAAAAATGTACAGCTTTTCTTATCACTGTGCTGAATCAATGGGACAAAACTGGTCAACCATCAACTTCAGTAGCAACCAAACTTTCAATAACCTGAAATGAAATGTCTGTAAATGGCTTCTAATGTTGTTCTTTTAGCCTAATTTTAAGCAAAATGTTTTCCCTTACCTTTAACTTCTCAGCACTGGGATCTCGTTTTCCAGCATGGTTTCCCATGGTAATTTTCAACTTTCTTCTAGAACTACAGAGATACCCCCAAAAAAAAAAAAATGGCAGTAGTCAGAAAAGTCATAGTAATTCCAAAGACAGACAGTTACCATCTCCTGAATTCTACTCCACATTAAATGCCTTGGGAAAGGGTGATTGCTTAGTGGTAGAACACAGTCTGAATGGGTAAGATCCCAGATTCAATCCCTGGATCTCCCAAAGGAACTAGGAAATTATCTTGCCTGGAACCCTGGAAAGCTTCTGGTCAATACAGATGATACTGAGTGACACCTCTCTGGGGACGTCTTCCCTGGAGTGGAGGACCTGAGCGCAGGGAAAACGTCCTTAGAGAGGTGCCTCTCTGAGCACGTTCTCCTCAGAGAGCCGGCTTGGGGCTTGGGAAGGGGTGACAGCCGCGGCAAGTGACAGCTGCGGCTGTGCCAAAGCATCATTGCTTGGTTATGTCCGGAATTTTCTCACTTGTGTGCGAACAGCAAATACGGTTCCCGGGAGCGCTTCATCGCGCTTTCGTTAATCGTGCGATGATGCTAGTTGCGTCTGATAGCCATTTACGTATTGTGGTTCATTCCTGGATTTCTTTCGGTTTATTCCTGGATTTATTATTTCGCTTTCTTATCGCTTTGTGGCCCACGTGTGATAAGGTCCTCAGTATAAAGCAGCTCCTAGACTTCCATGTAAAATTAAATGTATGTAAGGAGGCCAACCTAAATGGTAGCACTTAAGTTCCATTTAAGTTTGAGGCATTTTTAATTCTTACTTATTTGCAAGAGTGTTAAGACCCTATTTATCAGAGAAACTCCCTTACCAAAATGTAGAACAGAAGCAGGCATGTTTTGGAGATATGAGGGACCCCTCTAATAATGTGTTGAGGTTTTTGTTTGTTTGTTTGTTTTTCCAAAGCAAAAGTAATTGGAGATTCAGCAGCAGCAGCATTATTATTATATTTATTTATATCCTGCCTTTCTCCCAGATTGGGACTCAATGCGGCTTACAATGATTAAAAAACATTGTTAAAAGTCCACAAAATACAAAAGTTAAAACACAGTTAAATTAATTAAACAATCCGAAAAAATTAAAACCAAGTTAAAACATATATCATTAAAACACACACACTCCAGCACAGCAATTGGCCATATCCAGCACACTGTATAAGATGGCCCTTATATCATTACTCATCAAATGCCTGTCAGAATACAAACGTCTTTGCTTGTCTGTAAAAAGAAAGTGTGTGGGGTGTGAGTGTGTGTGCCAGCCTAATTCTTCTGGTAAGAGAGTTCCAGAGCCTGGGGGTCGCCATTCAAAAGGCCATCTCCTGTGTTCCCACAAGATGCACCTGTGAAGGCAGTGGGACAGAGAGAAGGGCCTTTCCAGCAGATCTCAGAGCACGGCTGGTTCATTACCAGTTTTGAAAAACATGACAGAGAAACTCTCATTCCCACAAGGCCCTGTGTCTTGCTCTAGAATCATGAATGTTTCCACAAGTAGTGAGTTTCCATATTTGACTGGAGGTGATGGAAATCAATTAGTAGACTGACATTTCCAAAGTCAAGTGCCCAAGACTGATAACATTATTTTGCTAAATGAAGCAGTTAACTTCAAATGCACTGTTTCCTGGTAGAAAATAATAATAATAATAGAAAAACTCTAAATCAAAGAATAAACAATTTGGTGTCCTTGGCTTTTATGTGTCCACCCTCAACCCCATTAGTTGCCTAGTACATGGTCACTTAAAATGGTTCATATTTAAGTGTAATGTATTGAATTATCATTATTTATTTTTTTTTAAAAAAAAGCTTTAGTTCCACAATTGTATAAACTGTGCAAAATAGCAGCAAGAATTTAGAAATTCTGCCCACTTGGCAGCAGCCTGAAGTCACATGGATTTATTGTGCAAAGTGAAACATATGCTAAGAAATTAACACTCCATAGTTTAAGGGGTAAATTATCTAAATGTCACAACACAGAAGTACATTCTACTGAATGTTATGGTTTACCAGTCTGAACTTTCTGAAACACATAAAGCTCAGCTGACAAGAATTATTTTGCCCAGAGGGAGAAAATCTGCCCCCCCCCCAATAAAGCAAGGTGGTGTTCCATTGTGACAAAATACAACTATCCTGTATATACTATCTGATATATTGCCAATTTTCAACCTTGAAATGAGAAGGAAAGAGCTGTTGGGGGTCTCACTTGTCACACATTCTCACTATTTCTATCACTTTTTTAAGTTTCCAGGATTTTAAATTATTGAGAGATAAGGAGTACACAGGCAGTATTCTATCCAACTACTCACCAACACATCATATAATTAAAGTATTTTAAACATATCTGGTTTCCTGTCCCTTTTCTCTGACTGCTTTGCAACAATTCCTACAACCTAAGGCCACACATTAGTCAATGTCTGACTATGATTTTGCCACAGGTCTGGAGACCAAAGTTCAACTCCCCACTTAGCCATGAAGCCCACTGGGATACCTTGGGCAAGTCACATCCTCTCAGCCTCAGGAGAAAGCAATGGCAAACCTCTTGCCAAGAAAACCCCATGATAAGTTTGCCTTGCAGTTGCCATAAATCAAAAATCACTTGGAGGCACATACTATACTAAGAACCACAATACAAGGTTTAAATGGCATCTGTAAGTACATTTGAGTGCTGGGTCCAGGTCACAGAGCAAGATAGTTATTTTGAGTCCCCTCCCCCTACATGGTATCACTGTTTGGTATTGGATATTTTGCAATTTTTAGAGCCCCAGGAAATACTAATTGGAGCCTCTCTTCAATCGTCTCATCTTTTCAAAAAATATTTACTGTACTTCTAATATCTTTTAATGGGTGCACCTAAAATGTAATGTGTGAATGAGAGATCTATTTGGAGAGAAAAGACTCAAAAGTACAAAGATGGGATGGTCCTTTGGTGAATTGTTCATCTAGTGCGAAAGTCATGTTGATTGATGCATAATGCATACATGTTCCTGAAGGTTCCTGGATACATTCAAATGGCAGATCCCACAGAACTACTTCTAATTAATTTTTAATAATATCTGCCATCATGCTGCAAATCATCTGAAGGCATCCGTGAGTTCTCTGAATTCCATTCATCCTCAGACTCTGACTGCTGAATAGTAGTGTGTGACTGATTAATATAATTTATCCACTAATGTGACAAACCACTTCTGGAAGTTGGCAGACAAGAAGGAATAAAGATCAATCAAGAGCCGTTAACTCCCACTCTTTATAGTATACAGGAATGCTATTAAAATGTCAATAACTTCAAAGCAGTTGGCAGCACATGAAAAATCATGCTGGTTGTTTTTTACTGACATTTAACTGCTTCCAGTAAAGTTTTTAAAAGGTTATGTTCTCTGAATTAAAAATGCTGACTCCTTGAAATGCAATGGAACCCCAAGAAAAACAGGCTGCCACTAATGTAGCTAAAGTGTTTTTGAAAGTAGATGAGAGGAAATAAAGGACAGAAAGTGGTGTCTTCTGAAATGGTGAAGAAAACCAAACAGATCACAAACAGTGGCAGCTAGTGGATTCCATGAGCAATGAGTCTGCTACAGCTTTAAAGAAACTATCCAAGGTGCTCAACCACATCCTCTTATATAAACTAGTGTGTGGGTGCGCTGATATCTGCAAGGGAGTGATCTCTGCCAGTCTCACCAACCTCACAGGCATGACTGGTGAGGATTTGTGAGAGAGCCTTCTCCATGGCTATGGAACCACCTTCCATGGCAGGTCCAGTTGCCTCCTTCTTTCCTGTCTTTCTGCCAACAGGTGAAAACATTTTTATTTAGGCAGGCTTTTGAATTTTAACTGTGGAGTTGCAATGTGTGACATGATATGCTCTGTGTGTGTGTGTTTGGGAGAAAGGTAGCATAGAAATGAAATAAATAAATAATAAACAAATACACATACACACAGTGTGTGTGTGTTTATTATTTATTTATTTCACTTCTATACTGTCTTTCTCCCAAAAAAGGGACCCAAGGTGGCTCACAAGCCGTTGTATTGTTGTTGCCTTCAAGTTCTTTCCAACAAGATTTCTTCAGAGGGTGCTTGCCGTTGCTGTCATCTGAAGCCTAGAAAGTGTGACTTGCCCAAGGTCACCATGTAGTTTTCTGTGGCTGACTGGGGTTTGAACGAGTCATTAGCCCAATGCTCAAATGATTATGCCACACTGGCTCTTACACACTCACACACACATACACAGTGTTTAAAATATATTTTAAGTGTTTTTGGTGTTTTAGATCTTCTAATCTTGTTTTAAATAATGTTGACATTTAATTCCTTTTAGTAAACTAATGTTTTAGTTGGATCTATTAAAAATTATTGTAATTATTGTAAGCTGCCTTGGATCCCATTTTGGTAGAAAGGTGGGATCTAAGTTAAATAAATAAATAAATTTTATCCCCAAATTCCTTTAAAGTTTGGACTAAAACTCAAAGTGGATTTACTATCCCACTGACATGGAAATCACTAGCTGTTTCTGTGAGGTGAATGCAGAATGCAAACAGAGGACAAAGTTTGTTTCAAGTATCGCAAATGCATACATCTTCACCAGTCATTTTGTTGGGAAGTCCTGTTTCTGAAGCTATTTTTTTTAGCTCAGAGGTGGTGATGTAACACAGAGATTAATCTTATGAGGCACAAAACCCTAGTTCAAAACTTGGCTCACACAGTTCACCTTCAACAAATTCTCCCTTCTATCTTTCTTAGCCCGCACATCTACAATTTGAGAATACTTCCACTGGCCTTTCTTACACTGATTGTGCTAACAATTAATGAGATTATATTTACAAATCACTTTAGCACTTGAAATGCAATATATAAATGCTAAGGACAATGTATCTAAAGACATCTAGATTAATATCACCCATTAATTAAACCAATCTTGGCCCTCTTTACTTTGCACATGTTTTTAGATAAAAGTATGTGCTACAAATGAATAGCAAAAGTGAAAACTGCAGAATGCATTCATGTTTTCATCCAAGAAGCCACAGCTGGTTATGAGACATTCACTCACAACATTGAATCCTTCCAAAATTATTTTGAAATGAATAGGGCCATTAACTATTCTAATGCTATCCTAAAATATGAAAATCAGCTACAAGTCTATTTACCTCTATGACAACTCATATACTACACAATATACTGTCAGAGGTATAAATAAAACTTTATCTAATACTAGAAAAGGGA